GTCACCGTCTTCAAAAAAGGTGGCAAGTCAGACTGTGACAACTACAGAGGAATCTCTCTTCTTGCCACTGCTGGAAAAATACTGGCAATAATCCTACTAAACAGACTTCTACCACTTGCTGAAAAAATCCTTCCTGAATCGCAGAGTGGCTATCGACCTGGCAGGGGAACCTCAGACATGATCTTCTCAGCCCGTCAACTACCATTGTACATGGCCTTCTTTGATTTGACTAAAGCTTTTGATTCCGTTAATCGTGATGCACTATGGAGAATCCTTCTGAGATATGGCTGCCCAACAAAATATGTTAAGGACCTTCGTCTGTTGCATGATGGTATGAAGGCTGTCATCCTCTCTGATGGTGAAACCTCAGAGCCAATCGAAGTAAGGACTGGTGTGAAGCAAGGCTGCGTTCAAAATAAAGGTTTTTGGGTTAGATCGCGATATTTATGAATGGGTGCAACCCTCCACCACCCGACGTTGACAAAAGCCAAATATTTCACTAATTTAGACCACCGGTGTGTTGATAAGTGGATCCATAACATTTACAATTTGAGTACGATGTTTTGCTGAAAATTACATCCAGCATCTTCGGGCGATTTGCCAGAATAGTGAAGCCATCCACCTGTTTCCGGTCTTAAATAGTGCAGTATGACGTCATCATTGTTGAACCCCATCAGGATTTGAGATCAGAGGCGGAGGTGTGGGTAGGGGTGCATGCAATTACGTAATATATCAGTAATCGGCCACTTAGCATATGACTGACCTGTAAGGAATTGCAATGTGTTGTGTATTCCTTAATAATACACTTCCAGGCTGCGCTGAGTCTATAACTATCGCAGCGATTAAAAGTATTAGAATTCTTCTCAATTTAAATTGATTCTCTAACTAATCTTGGCTAGCAATTATTAGTTCTGCATAACACTTCAACGTTATCAAAATCAATTGAATGTCTTTGTTGGCAACCATGCTCTGCCACTGCTGACAGCTGTGTTTGGGATAATTTAATGTTCCTTTGGTGTTATCTTAGTCTTACGCTAATGTTACGTCCTGTCTGCGTAATTTCACCAACTCTTTTCTCCATCTTGCTGGCGGGAATGCTTCATCTGACAGAGAACAGACTTCCCAGAGGCATACATATTACATATAGGACAGACGGGAACATATTCAACATCAACCATTTCAGAACCAAGTCAAAAACATCAATCACATCCGTTATTGAGTTCCAATATGCGGATGCCCAAGTCAGTGACTGCGCAGAAGCTGACCTTCAGGTTATCGTCAACATATTTACAGATTCTAACAGCAGGATGGGTCTAGCATTAAATACCAGCTAAACAAAAATCCTTTTTCAACAAGCTCGGGGAGGACACCTACCACCTCCTTACAGTCATTACCAACAATGCAATACTAGAAAACGTTCTCAGTTTCCCATACTTAGGCAGCCATCTCTCTAGCAATGTCTTAAGTGATTATGAAATCCAACATCGGATTGCCCGAGCTAGTGCTGCCTTTGGCAAACTTAAGAACAGGGTCTTTGAAGACCACGACATTATCACCAAGACCAAAGTGTCTGTGTATAACGCTGTGATCATTCCAACCCTCTTATATGGTGCAGAAACTTGGACCACTTATTGTAAACACGTAAAATCTCTCGAAATGTTTCAACACTGTCTCATGAAAATAGTAAACATCACCTGGGAGAAAAGACAAACTAATATCAGTGTCCTGGAGCGATCCAACTCATCCAGCATAGAGGCCATCATGATGAAGTATCAACTCAGATGGGCAGGTCACCTTGTGAGGATGAAGGACTCGAGGCTTCCTAAGCAAATCTTCTATTCCCAGCTCAGCAATGGATCACGTGCCCCCGGAGGTCAAAGGAAACTTTCCCATGACAACCTTAAAATGCACCTCAAGCAATGCCACACAGATCCAAACAACTGGGAAATCTATGCTCTTTATAGACCATCATGGAGGGCCAAAATAAACAATGGAACTCAGCATTTGGAGGCCGAGCGAAGAGAGTTGATAGCCATGAAAAGAGCATGCCACAAAGGACAACAACGAGTGGGAGCTCCAGGATGGACCATCCATGCCCCCATTGTGCCAAGATCTGCAGGTCACGGATTGGCCGATTCAGCCATCTCCGGACCCATGGTGTCATGGACAAGTGACAGCTGGAGGGAAATCATACTCGACTACGAGGGATCCCAGAAGAAGAAGAAACCCACAACATTAAAAATTCGAGTACGACGTCTCACCGGTAATTACAACTAACATCATCAGGTGACAGCCAGAATTGCCATGCAGGTGTCTGGCCTATGGAGCAGTGTAATGGCGTCCTCTCCTGGTCACGTGGGGAGTGGCATTCATGACCCACAAGCTCGACCACACTTCACCGCTGGAGCGTCACCGCCACCACCTCACGGGCCAGTCCACACCGTGCGGCGACACCCGTGGGTGGCTGCTCAAGTCCACTTTTTTTTCGCAAGATGTCGCTAATCGGAAACTCGCCATGCGCCCTCCGCCATCTTCACCAGCCCCTGCCTCCACCCAACAAGGCCTCCACCTAGGACTGATCGAGAAGTTCTGAACCCCTGATGGACTGGGACCACTTTACCTGCTGCTACCGGGCAGCCTGTCTTTTAACAACGGTCGTACGATGACGCCACCCTGTTGTACTTCCCCACCGTCTTTGGGGACGACGCGTTTGAGGCTTGCGACTCCATCCCGGCGGGACAGTAGACCACTCTTGCCGACGCATACAAGGCCATGGCAGAGATATTCACCACAAGGGTTGTTACAGGGTGCCACTTCTGGGGACGGACCATAGCCATGGAAGAGACTCCCATGGCCTTCACCGTTGCCCTCCACCTCTTGGCCCAGAAGACATACCTGACCATGAATGACGTGAATCTGGAGGGTGTGGTAGTCGACTGACTGGTCAACTACGTTGCCATCGTTGAGGACCACCTCAGTGATGGTCACGTGGGTCACTGAACAAATCGATGTGCACACGTGGTGATGCACCGATCGGCGACCGTCAAAATGGTCACCGTGCCCTCTCCGGGCCACCTCAACTGCCGTGCACCTCACTAGTGGCAATGGGAACTCTCCAGTGTGTGACTGTGGTTATCCAGAACAGACCATGCAACGTATAACAACACAATGTCCGATCCACAAATACGAAGAGATATCATGGCGATACACTCCGGGTTGTCTGGCTTGACCACCTGAATGTGAAATTGCAGCTGTTGTCTCTACATGAATATCAGACATACGAAAGAAGAAGTGGCAATGCACATTACAGATGTTCTGACCACCGTCCTGCGAGAAGTATGGGAAGAGCTCCCAGACACACAGCACAGGGGCCTTGTCCACCGGGGTTACCATCCCCAACAGCCACGGCCGGCTGCAGGCTTCTTAGTCCTATCAGGCGGCCGTCGTTTATCATTGGTGTGGCCAGCTGGGTCGGGTCCCAACGGGTGTCACTGAGGCAGGCCAGCGACGCCAATCCATACACGCCTGCTCTCCCCTCCGCCACTGCCTTGCAGCCAGAACCGCCGTAGCTGGCAACACCGTTGTTGCCCGTGGGCCGGTGGTCACCCATCGCCTTCACGTCTGCCACGAGTCTGCAACCGCCACCTACACCACTGCCAGTGGCCGCGCCATTGCCACATGTTGCTCCGTGGCCGCCTTTCAATCTTCCGGTCACCGTCCTCTCTTGCCGCCCACCCCCACCGATTCTGCCTGACATTCCACGGGCGAGTGACCCGCAAACCGGCCACTCGATCAGAGCTATCTCACAGTGGAAGAGGCTCCAGCGGCAGGTGGTGGCCGCGGCGTTGGGCACAGCCTTCATTGTGAGGCCCGATCTTTGGGACTCGTACTAAAATGTCACTGGTGCATCCGCTGCACTAATTGACCACTCGCTCTTCAACTCGCTCCCTCAACACCAGTGGTAAGCACTTATCTAGGTCATGGGGCAGGGTAAAGGTCAGCATCTCTTTTGCTGACATCACAGTAGACGCGCCCGACCACGTCTCTGCGACCCTCCTGCGTGCCGTGCCCCTTTTGGGAACTGACTTCTTATTCTGGACGCCTCTACGAATGAATGCGCCGGAGAGTCACTTTGGAACACCCAACAAGATCACATACCCTTGCGGAGTCCGGCGAATGCCGATGCTACCGGCGAGGTGTAGGCGGTAGTGGTCTGTGACGCGTACATGCCTCCGGCCACACAAATGCTTGTACCGTTATACAGTACCGCGCTCCCTTCGACGCCCCCCATCCTCATCTCGCCCACGCGGTCTGCGGTGGGTCGTCTGGGCCTGGTGGGAGGCCGACATGCTCCTCCACTGTCATCAGGCAGAGTCTGTTTCTACAGGTCCTCAATGCTACTGCGGACGAGGGCGTCACGATGCAGTCCGTAACGACATGAGCACACGGCTCCACGTTGCCTGCCGATACGATGATGATGAGCGGTGAGTGTGGAATAAAAGCAATGGAGCCGTTCCTTATCTGTCTCCGCGTGTTGATTGAGGAGAGTGCCCGCTGCAGTACGATACTGTGCGACAGCTTACGAGCTAGCGTTGATCAGTGAGGTGACAGCTGAGGGGAGGTTGTGGAGTGAGGGAAGGGGTAAGGGCAGGGTGTGGAGTGAGGAGAGGGAGTGGAGTGAGGAGAGTGAGAGGAGTGAGGGGAAGGAGTGGAGTGAGGAGAGTGAGATGAATGAGGAGAGGGAGTGGAGTGAGGGAGGGAGTGGAGTGAGGAGAGAGTGCGAAGTGAGAGGAGTGAGGGGAGGGAGTGGAGTGAGATGAGTGAGGAGAGGGAGTGGAGGAGGATTGTGGGGAGGGAGGGGAAAAGGGCTAAAGAGAGGGTGTCGAGTGAGAGGAGTGGCCGAGAGAAGGGTGCGGGATTGAGGGGAGTGAGTGAGTGGATGGTGCAGTGCGATGGGAGGTAGCGAGGGGAGGGTCGTGTCGCCCTCCCGGCGCGCCACGCGCTGCTTGCTGTCTGCTGAGCGGAGCAGGGAGCAGGGCGCAGTTCACAGTCGTCCCGCGAGGAGGAGGTGCAGCAGAGTCCCGGTCGGAGTCCCGCGCCTCGCAACTCCCCGAGCTCCCGAGTCGAGATGGGCACCGCGCTCCACCCTCTCGCCGCGCTCGCCGCGCTCTGCGCGCTGCTGGGCTCCACTGTCTCTCAGCCAAGCCACGAGGCACCACCGCAGGTAGGAGGCCTGCGTGGCACCGCAGGTAGGGGGGCGCGTGGCATCACCACAGGTAGGGGTCCGCTGGTCGTGCAGTGCGAGTTGATGACCTGGCACATCAACTCGCACAGCAGAATTTCCGTTTACAGTAATTGTAACCTTTGCATTCACATGGCGTTGCTGGATTCCCACGGTTTCAGTTGGGTACACGGCGGAAGAGGCGAACACGATGCCATGATTATTAATTGTCATTTATCATCGCCACCCTTTGATCGATCGTCATCAGCTGTTGCCCGACTCCTGAAACTCGCCGCCACGACGTGTGGATTACAAACGTAGTCACAACAAAATAGAGATCGCAAACAGGGAAGGGGCCCAGAGAAGCGTGGGTAGATGCATCGCACCCGTGGGCTTACATCAAGCGGCGATGTGGAACACGGGGATTTAGAGAGCACACGCAGGTTCATGACATCATCCATGGCTCAGGCGGGATGATGGATCACGGTCAAGAATAGTGATGGAGTGGCAGCGAAGGAACGGAACGCGCCGGAGAGGGCGTTGAGCGTGGAGACGGAGCGATTGAATCAGTTCACCTGCAGGTGGATCGTTGTTGTATCGTTAGATGGCGAGAAGTGGTGGCGGCTTGGGGAGGCCTTCATCCAGAAGTGGATTGAACATAGCTGATGATGATTCTCAGTGACGAATCGTTGTAAATGTCGCGAGGTGTGCAGTTGTTGCCTCGTGAATACCACGGCTTGTATTCTTGTAAACGATATTCACACGGGGAGATGTTACGTGTCACGTTTTGTAATAGACCGTGGTTCACCCCCCCCCCCCCACCTATTCACGATGCCGTGCTGGGGATGAAGGCTCGGCGAGCGATCATCGATGTGGCAGAATGCGATTTTTTAAACTCGTCAACTGGAACGTTGCAAAGTTTAAATCCCAGTCGGGGGTCCAAGCGGCCAGTTTGCGCCTGTGGGGGGGGGGGGGGGGGGGGTTTCTACGGAGAAAAGTGACTCCCCACCCGAGGAATTTGGAATTTCCTCCACTGGCTCTGGGCCTCCAGCATGGATGAGCACCGACTCTTCGCGTCTAACAGGGCAGAAAGCTCGACACGCTCATCAGTCACACCGTGGCCTCGAAGGGGAAACCAAAACAAATATAAAGCAGGCGATGTTTCAGGCAATGGCCCTTCTTCTCGTCTGTGTAGCGCGTGAATGGAATGGTCAGAGAATGGAGAAGAGGTGGAGACTGCACTTTTACACAACGGGGCCTGAGTTACATTTCAGCCAATGTTTCCTGATGAACAGTTTTTCAACTGGCCTTGGCATAGTAAAACGCTTAGCTCAATGAATAACGGGCTACCCCCTTCAATAACTATCGAACAGTATTCCTAAGTAAATAGACTCGTTTACATTAAACTAAAATACAATTATAAAATGTTCCCGCCACACTGCATTTTGGTGTGTCCGTTGCAGTGAGGTCAATGGAAATACCATTCGCACAATCTACCGAGCGAAGCGTTCGCCTTGTGAGCAGCACTCGTGCGTGTGCACGGGTACAGCACGCGGTGCTCTTGCTTTGTGCGTGCGCGTGTGGGACACCGCTAACTCTACGCGTGTGCATCGCGTGCACAGGACTGCTCCGAGGGCTACGAGTGGGAGGACGCGACGAGTGAATGCAGAGGTACCCCCCTCTCCGCCAGCCGGTGCCATACATCACACTTCACGGGGCTGTGTGAATGTTATAACAGTGCCAGTGTAGAGGTTTTGCGCACACACGTACTCGGATGTCGGTGAATTAGATGGCACTGTCATCGTTGTTGAAGTGACACGGGCCTGGTAACTACATGATGCGGTGAGAAAGAAGTGACTTGATTTTATATCAGTCATCTTGGTTTCGTTATCAGCCTGTCCATGAAACTCAACACGAGACTGCGATCTTGCAGACTGTCGAGGTTGCTGAACGCTGTGCATAGAGAACAGCATCAATCCATAGGCACTGAATATGTACCGAGTCTGAACTTGGCTCAGATGTCTTATTTGCGGGTTTCAATGTGCGCGTGTGTTTTGTGGTGCAGTGGATATCGCACTGCATGCGTTACAGAACCCGGTGCCCCGAGTTCGATTTTCGGCCATGGCCAACATCGGTAACAAATACCTGAACCGTTCCTGGGACTCCCCTATGTCGACTCAGCCTTAAATTAGTACTGTACCTGGTTTGTTGTACGTTAAATGTCAGCACTGGGGAAATAAAGGGGACTGGGGAATGGCACTGGCTACATCGCCACCTTGTGCGCCATGTTGGCCTTCAAAGGTGCTTGCTAATTGCACTGCCCCAACAGCCTACCCAGGCTACACGAGGGATCTTTGTTGTGTTTCCATGTGCATGCGTTTTGTCTCCATCTGTTTTGTGCGTGCATGTGTGTGTCCGTGTGCTTTTGTGTACTCTCTTCACGTGTGTGCTTGTTTGTGACGTCACCGCCCCTTAGTGGCGAACGGCGGATGTGAGTGCACACATTCGCGTATCTGCTTGTGCGGGTTGTGTAGAATCCGCCTTCACAATTCTGTAAAGGTAGGTCGTGGCCTAATACAAGAAACTCATTCGCAATTTCTATAAATGAACAGAAGTAATATATATCAAACTGTGTCCCACAATGCAATGTCATTTCAACGTCTAAATGCCATCGCAACTCAATAAGCTTAACAAAGCTGACTTATCACTGAAAATAAGTAGCAAAACATTGTTCAGTAAACTTCAATAATTCTATCTTAATTCTATATCAACAGTAATGAACTCAACATAAAACACGTGCTACATTTATACAACCGACTATATAAAATCCTGGGTTAAGTTTCCAATCAGTAAATAAAACAACTCCAATAGTAAAACCAATGGCAAAAATTTTACAATTTATAATCATACGACGGCACGGCCTTGCGAGGAATCGGAGTCACCAGACTGGAAGCGGAAATGTGCGAGGCTTCAGACCAGACTTAAACATTCCGCCAAATGCAAGAAATGTGTTGGGAGGGCTTTCCAACGGCCTGCTTCCGTCACATTTCCCTTGCGCCGTCTGAACGACGGTGCAAGGGAAACGTTGCCGCAAATTGCCAACGTGTCCCATGCCCCTGCAGGGTTATTGGCGAATGTGTCGAGTTTTTTTGTTATTCGTGCCCCGACTATTTACATCAATATTTTTTCAGTGCCTTAGATGCCAAGCAGTCATTCGTGTTTGTTCGTCGACCAATGTATACGCCGTATCTCTAGCGATGGCCATGTGGGTGCATGTGTATATTTTCACGAGTTAACCCACGGCTTTTTTTTTGCAACTCAGCTCGCCCCATTTCAACCTCCCCCCAACATGGCCCCATTGATTTGTTTTCCAACGAGGCAGAAATCACACGTGAGCCAGCCCCAAAAGCCATCCCCGAGGGAGCCACGCGCGCCGGTTCACTCCTGCGTCACGCTGTGTGCTCGCTCCTTACAGATGTGGACGAGTGCACCGGCATTCCAGATGCATGCCGCGGCGACATGATGTGCGTCAACCACTTCGGGGGCTACATGTGCCTGCCGCGATCGGCGCTCGTCATCACGGGTGGTGTGCAGCCCGGCGGCATGCAGCTCGGCGGCACGGACCTGAGCGGGCCTCAATCTGGGCTTCCAGGCCAGGGTGGGCCTGAGCTGGGCACTGGGCAGGACACTGAAATTGGCACTCGAGGCCCAGCCACATCGGGGTTGGATGGACGACGACCGGGTGGACCTAGGCCGGGCGGGTCTAGACACGGTGAGCCCAGTCCTGGTGGATCCAGGCCTGGTGGACCTCGGCAAGGAGAACTGAGGCCAGGCGTACCGAGAACCGCTGTGCCGAGGCCAAGTGAACCTAGACGGGATGGACCTAGACCTGGAGGGACTATAATCGCAGAACCAAGGCCAGGGAGACCAAGATCAGGTGACGCTAGGCAAGGAGGCAGTAGGCCCGATGTTACTGGGCAAGACTTTGAGCAGGACAACGACTTCTCTGACCAAGGGCATCGACCGCAGCCTCCAGACGTGAACATTCCAGCAGAAACTCCACTTCCCCCGCCCACTTCTCGCTGTCAACTTGGCTACAAGTTGTCCGAAGGATTCTGCATAGGTAAGTTGTCCTAACGTTTTCTCACTCAAAATTGCTGGACCAGGGTGGCCCTGGGGCCACCCTGGTCTCAATGAATGGCGTGGTCTACACGTGATCAGGCGTAGCGAGTAGTCATCCCAGCCAGTCACCACCAACTACTAAAAAAACCAGAATCAGTACCTGGTTGAATGATATTTTGGAACTTAATTCTGCATATTACGTGACATTTTCAAAGTAAATTTATTTGATTTTAACGTAATGCGCACATTTTTTCTACAGGGTACGTATGGTATTTTCCACCTCGTGTTGATAAAAGGCTTTCAGTGGAATTTAGTTATGTCTGTTCATCTTCAGATGGCAATTTCCTGACTCGTGACAGTACTACACGGCTCGCTGTGAAAGTTATCAATGGACTTGTGTGATTTTTTTCGTCTTGTGCCATATAACCGTCTTTAGGCAACGGGTGGTGCATTTTGCACTGTAGGCATGATAATTTAAAGCCCTTTATTTTCTTAAAAGTAAAAATGTTGCATGCAGATGCTCGATCCTCCACCTCTGCTTCCAAAGTGTTGTATTACAGGCAAAGCACCACGACGTTCAACAACAAATAAAAAAAAACGAAATCTGACGTAAAAAAAAATAAGGATATGAAAGCAGAAGTCATCAAATGGTACCCGTCATGCACTTTCACTGCTCAGGCTTTCTCCCCTCTGCCAGATCACACAGCTGCTGCACAGCAGACCCCAAAACTCCCGAGCTTTGCACTGAGAGTCTCCCACCATCTGGTCTAAGGCCTTCTGGTCGCTGGACTCGTGGAGACCTCTCCAATTTCCGTGGCACCAATCGGTCCCTGTCTGTTCACACGTCTCACTGAGCTCAGCCATATTTTTGGATTGTCATTTCTTAAACACAACGGAGTCATATTTTATATCGGACGTCTTTATTGAATATTGTCTTGGCACAGAATTGCCAGTGTCCATCTCTCAGACATATGTGCTCAAATGCCAACAACTTATTGTGGAGCAGCTTGGTTTGCGTCCAGCTCTCGGATTCATACAGTAATACGGACAGTGCTGCTGCGGCTGCCCTCAAATGCCCATTTCTTTATGTCGAAGTGCGTATTCTCAGTCACAGTTCGGCTCGGGCTTGGCTCTGGCTCAAGTGAGCCGGCTCAAAGTTCCGCTTGATTTGAGCCGGCTCTGAGCGCGGTGCCATCCCTCGCTCGTGATGTCCACGAGCGGAGCCTGAGCCAACCCACGGCTGAGCCGCTGGTGCATCTTTGAAAGCAACCGAGCGGCTCAAGTTAGAGCCGCGACTCAGAGCATGGCCCTCACACAAAGTGATGTCCATAGCCCATCGACAACCTGCCCTGCTAAAGCAATGCACCTCCTTCTCACTGCCCCCCCCCCCCCCACCGCATTACAGATGTGTAGGACTCGTACTCGGCTGTCTTTCTGTTCTCTTTATTTTCCGCTCAACAGTCCACCTCCGCCGCGCCACCGCTCTGCGTCTCGGCGCGGCCTCACTCCGCTCCGCGTCTCTCTCTGCAGCGCCACCGCTCTGCGTCTCTCCATGCCCTCACTCCACTCCACGTCGCTCCGCGTCTCTCTCTCTCGCCGCGCCGCGTCTCCTCCGTGTCTCCCTCTCTCTCTCTCTCTAGATCTGTCGACTCCCCTGCTATTCTACACTGCATCCTTCAGATGCATGGCTACCCCTGTTCGCACACTGCGTTCTCGCTATTACTGTCTCTCTATACTCTACTCCATCTGTCGCCGCTAACCCACTCTATCTCTGCTCTACTATCGTCACCGCCTGCTCAGCGATTCCCCCAGGCACCGTCGCTGCAGCTCCATCCAAGACGCCGACCAAGACAAGCCGACCCTCTCTCCGTCACGCTGTGGCTTATATCCCCACACCAATTAATCCCCATTAATTATCTCAACCCCCCGCTTATTACTCGCCCCCTGCCCCCCCAGTCTCACGTGACCTTGTTATTGACGCCAGAGCGACGCAAGCTAATAACCAATTACCCTCTTAGCCAATCGCTGACCTGTGTCCCCCCGGCTACCCCGAACACCTGTCTCAACACTTAACGACCCTCTCACCTAATGCCACAACAACAACCGTGTCCTCAGACACACCCCACTGTACTCTGCTCGCTCGCATAGCAACAGTGGAAGAGAATGCGTGGCGCGCTATAACTCTACAGATGTACTGCCTCATACGAAGTCCGCTGCCACTCTTCCTGCAGGTATTTGCGATCCTAAAACATCCCGTTTCTCAATACCGCTGTTCACTTTGTCTTAGGAAAGCTCAGATTCTCAAGAGTCCAATGTCGGGCCTCAGTGCCTAAGATCGCCCACCCCTCTACGCCTCCAGCCAAAGTCCTCTAGCCAACACATTTGCATCTTGTTGACTGACATGATGGGTTCGGTCACATTTTTACGCACCTTCGATTAGCACGGTTGGCTACGTGTAGTGCGAAAGCAGTTAATACTCACACATAAACCTACAGACTCACATAGAGACCCATAGACTCACACAGACATCCATAGTTTGTTGTCCTTCCCCCCGCACCTCCGATTAGCACAGTTGGCTTTGTGCGGTGCGAAAGAAGTTCAGCATACATACATATGACTCAGCTGTCTGCAGTTCATATTGGTGTACGGTACGAGGCGCCTCCACAGAATCTGCTGAACATCACTGCATTCATTCTGTTTGGGCAGCCTATATGCGGCGGTTCTGTTAACGCTCAGTGCAGGATGCTGAGTGAGCTGGTACAGGGAGCGCTGGGGAGTTGGCAGGGAGCGCTGGCGCTTCGTGCAACTTTGTCTTCATCGCCGTCCCACCAAGCAACAGGGGCCGGTGCCCAGAGCGGTGGTGGTTGGGGGCGGCAGTGGCGCCCCGCAGTTGCGGGCTGTTGACAGGGGCGTGCGGCGCTAGTTGGTATTGGACCTCGGGAACAAACCGGGCCTTGTGAAGTGGGCGCCCATCTCACACACAAGCCCCCCCCGTCCCCGTCCCTCGCTTTTAGCAGGGCGGTTAAATTTACACAAAATAAATAGAGGCGGACAAAAACTGCGGCAGTATAAATAAACATCGATCGCGTGGCGTGCCGCGCCACGAAATGTCCTAATGCACGCTCGACCCCCCTTACCGCGCTGCGGAGTTTGGAGACGCAGCGTGGAAAATCCGTCCACATTCCTCTGTCGCTCGGGGGCCACAGCAGCGCGCGCGTGCACGCAAAGCAACGCACCCTGCCACTCAAAACACAGCGTGGAGAGAGATCCCTTTTATCCTTCACAGATAATTATCAAAGCCAGCAGGGCACCCACGCGATGTGGGTGGCGTGAGCGCAGCCACGCTCGTCCGCCTTGTCCCCTCCGGTTAGCGCATCCCATCGGACGCTCGAACGTTGACTGCGCCGACATTGCGTGAATCCCGGGCCACTTGTCACAGACGCACGTGGCCGGGAAGCGAACCTGGATCGTTGGCAGTGCACAGAGGTGTGGGCGAAGGTCCAGGAAGCAAGGAAGCATTAGTCCGTTGGGGTATCACCATGGGTGGACAACAGACGGCAATGGTCGATGCGTGAAGAGATGAATGGGGCGGGGCGAGTCGAGGGGCTCGCAGGCTCCTCCGTTGGGTCGTCGCACTCCAGCTAGGACTCACTCCCCCCCGCCTCCCTCTCTGCATGCTGCGGGCGTCGGAATGTGAAATTATAAGAGAATTCAACAGGTGGATGCTCAGTCATCCGATTCAAATTGGCATTCTCACTGCACCGTCGAGCCGCCATCAGCGACATCGTGGAGGGACGGCCATTTGATGGGCAGCTCCGCAGTCCATATTCGAAAGCCACTGAAACTGTGCACTTTGAATTTCTTTAGAACCTCTTTGTGTGTTTAGTTTGTCGTTATTCCCCTGCACCTTGGCTACGTCCGGTGCGAAAGAATTTCAACATAATACATATATGCGTAGTAGAGATGCCATACTAACAGAGATGGTGACAAGTCGACGCGCTGAGCTACAGCGATGATTGCGGCTCTTCAGTGATTTTAAGTTCAATCTGATTGTGACCTAATTTTCGTTCCATCTCGAATGCTGCTCCCCTGTGGTACATGTTCTTGGGGTACAGGTGCGTGAACGTGCCGTTCAAAGTCCCAATTCGTATCGTACCATAGATTCCTCATACATTAGGGCGTGTAGGTGTATATGGTAGCTCTGTATGAAAGCAGACATGCACGGACACAAGCAATAGCGCACACATGTACAGTTCGGTGTGCAGACGGGTCGGGCTGCAGGCGGGTCGGGGTGCAGGCGGGTCGGGGTGCAGGTGGGTCGGGGTGCAAGCTGCTTGGGGTGCAGGCGACTCGGGGTGCAGGCGGGTCGGGGTGTAGGCACGTCCATGCTGGCGAAACTCCCACTGCTATGCCTCCGAAATGCGCGAGCACGTAGTGTGTGTGGTTACAGTGGCTGATGTTATTTCAATATTGTCGAAATTAATCAAAGTACATATTTTACACCCTTGGCAGGAAGCAATATGTTCAACAAAAATATTAGCATTTACCAGATTTACAGCATATGCATTGAGCCCCTACCACCCGATTCCTATAAAGAGAGCTGCATTGGCCCAGAATTGGCCCAATGCGGTTCCGTATGCAGACTTTCCATCTGACAAGCGTGGATTTCACAGCTGGGAAACAAATTACCCTTTAAATCCACAGAGACATACAGAGGATCACAGAATTACATCAGCACAATGACAAACACATTCTGTATATACTGACATACAAAGATCCCCTGTATAGGCTCGAACAGGCTGTTTGGGCAAGTTAGCTCGCGCCAATGAAAATTGGATCAGCACACGAGGGGGTGGGGTGGTCAATACCACTCCCGGCCGCCCCAAGTACATACTCATCTTAGGCTGAGTCAACCTAGGGGAAGCCGAGGACCCTTTCAGATAATCATCACTAAATATCGGTCGTGAGCAGAAATCGAACGCAGGTCACGAGGTTCGTAGCGCAGTGCTCTAACCACTACGCCACCACTCCGCATGTACACACATGTACACACACCCTGACTCGCACACATACACACAATAACCGGTCAATTAAACACATCGGGTTGTTAATACTGTCACTGAGAGGAATGGAGAATCTCACCGTTTTAGCTAACTGACCTTCAGGAAAAATTGAGGTTTATAGAGTCACGGATCATCTTAGAAGGGCAAGGGGAGATGGGTAGCGTACAGTGTCAGCTGATTGACTCAGTGGGAAAGATTCCCTCAAGTGCAATTTGTTTTCTCATCGTGTGTTGACATCTGCAGTTGGTCAACCGTAACCGAGTGAACCGTTGGCAATGAATTAGCGAACCACTTCCGATATAGCAGCAAAGGGACCTTTGATCCAAAATCAGAATACAGTATGTATCCGATGAGCTATAAAGCTCTTTGTCACCGACGATCCACACAGGAGAGAGCAGCACTTTCCCACCCACCCGGCTAAAAGGCGGTAACGCTCGACGCGTGACGTGTCAAATCAACATTTTTATCCTGAGTGCTAGAATCTCGACAAACGAATGGCAGAACCAAATATAATCTGATGGAATTTTGCTTCTTAATAAATTACCCAAAAACCCAGCTTAAATCATCACTATCATCATTACTATGAACGATAACACTTCTCTCGCATCCGCTCTCCCTCCCGCTCTCCCGCCCCGCTCTTCCGCCCACAGACGTGGACGAGTGCGAGGTGGACACGCACCGCTGCGCTCCCCCGCTCGTGTGTGCCAACACTCCCGGGAGCTACCGCTGCCAGTGCCTTCCCGGCTTCCGCATGGGCGCCCGGGGCGCGTGCCAGGGTGAGTGGCGCATCGGCAGCCCCCTCCACCATTGCTCACTGCGCAAAACGAGCTCTCGTGGCGGGCGACTCTCGGCTAATGACAGCAGGGCACACGCGTGAGCCTCTTGCGTTGTGTTCCGCAGCACGTGGCTCCCATGGCGGATCTTAAAATCATGCACAGACCACGCACGCCGGCACCAAGCACAGCATGGCCTGGCCCGGCGCGCTCGCCACGCTTGTCGCGGGGGTTCGCGGTTCGAAGTACGCCGGGCCGCGTTAGTTAGTCCAGTGCTCCACAGTGAACTTCAAAGATCTCCCAACGTCGTTCAAATGGAATAGGCGATGGCATGCTGGTGTCATGGTCCATATCCTAAAAGTTCGAAAATGACTCGATAATGGTTACCCTGATCCACCCTCAATGGTCGCCAACCAAACTAACAAGAAGAGACAAACTTTTTTTTCGAATTCGGTAAAAAAAAACCCAGCCTTCAATATTTTAAGAGCTCGCACAACGTGGTGATGAATACGAGACGGTGGGGGTCCCTTAATAAATAACGGTCACGAAGCAGTCCGAAGACAGAGCGGCACACGGCTCTGGAGCCGCAAATTGCCCACCCCTTGGTCTAGGAGTTTGAGAGTGTTGTTCCTCATCTGTAATATCCACATCACCCCCCCCCCCCCCCGTGCAAGTTGCTGTAGCCGTCGGTGTCTGGGGACAACAACCCTTAGCCTAAATGCTTTTGTTTTCACTGCGGACTTTTCCCTTCCTCAAAATACTCTTGCTATGTTTTTGTTTGTCTTGCTGTACGTTTTAAACTTAATGTGTTTAATTGCATGACTGGTTTCTAGCGAACACGTACGCGTGTGTTCGGAGGGTATGCCTTGTGACTCATACGTCACAGAGAAGACGCCTAATGCTGGAATCGGTGGGAGAGATGGATTACTGTATCTCATCTCTCTGTTTGTGCACTCTACTCTTCCTCACAGTCTTCGTCATGAATTAAACCCATGTGTAATGACGACGTAGACGCACTTGTCTTGAGATGGTTTCTTTTATTAAGGAGCCACGTGCTCACACTCGAACAGGCGGAGACCCCACTGCAACAGCCCCGAGTTTCCCGCCCATCTCCCTTTTATACGGTCCAAGGCCACGCCCCCATTCCCGAACTTTCTCCCTGGTTCTAGACGCTCGCTCTACCAGCAGACTCTACCATCCTCTTCCATCACCTGGCCATTCTTCTATTCTTGATGATTCCCACAGCCACCAGTCCATTCGTACTGCAGGCTGACTTCCCTGTAATTACCTCCTGTGGTTACTAGTCCATTCACACTGTCGGTTGACTCCTCTGTCATTACCCAAATCTAATTAATCTTTACACCATTCATCTCCACTTCCCTCTGTTCTTTTCCATACAGATGTGGACGAATGTTTGCGGTCACCCTGCCAGCATCGTTGCATCAACACGGTCGGTTCGTTCGAGTGCCAGTGTCCTGCAGGTTACTCGGTGGCAGTGGGTGGTCGCAACTGTGCTGGTGAGTCCGGCTAGCCCTCAGTTCGTAGACCTACACCCACACCCACAAAGATTCCCCGTATAACATCAACAGACTATTGGGCCAAGTGCTGTTAGCGAGCACCTACAAAGGCCGGCACGGCGCACGAGAGGTTGGGTGGCCAACACAACGCCCGACGGCCATTGTCTCCCAAGTGGCGATATTTTTATGTACCGCACCAGGTACTCGTTTGAGGCTGAGTCGACCTAGGGGAGGCCCAGGATCGGTTCAAATTATTGTCATTGTTGTTGACCGAGAGCGGGAGTCGAACTCAGGTCGCCGGGTTCATAGCGCAGTGTGCTTACCGATACACTACTACTCCCCACACACCCACGCCCACCTGCACACATTCACACTCGCCAACTCAGAAACACGAGCAGACCTGCCCAAGATCAGTCTTCTTCTTGCGTTCGCTATCAAAAGTTGATATCCAAAACTGATCAACGACTCCATCTTCGCCACTTCGTCCAGTTCACTAGGCCCTCTCATTTCAACCATCTGGCCGTTGTAAGGGACGGTCCTCAGCGATGTGGAGAGACGGCTATCTGCTGGGCAATCCCCACAGCCACTTATAGGCGAGGTGGCATACGAAATTTAGGTGGTGCCAAATCATCGTACCAAGATGCTCGTAGCCACACGGTTGAGTCTCGTCCAAGACGGTGTGGATGGCTGGTGTTTACATACACGTGTGACTGATGGGTAGTGGAGATGTATGACCGATCGCAACCAGTACATTGGGGAGACTGGTACGTTCTTGGGCAACAAGGTCATAGAGACTGACTGGCAGACAACAGGTATCTAGCCTCTCAGCTCTTGCAGAGCACACAATCAACACTGACCATTTGATAACTTTCAATTCCTTGGAAGTACTTTTAAAGAGTAAAAGTGATGTCCTGCTCAAAGTAGCATTAAGGTGGTGCTCCTGTTTACAACCCTGAGCCATTGGTGGAAGTTCCGCATTCCTATGGCATCCTCCCCACAAATGGTAATTATTTTATTGATGATGGGCTGAGCCAATTCCAACCAAGGGGCCGTCCATAAATGACGTCACGCGATTTTGGCCGATTTTTGACCCCCTCTCCCCCCCTTGTCACACAGCGTCACAAAAAGTCAGACCCCCCTCAAATATGACGTCACAAAGCTCTGCCCCGCCCCCAAAAACATTTCCATTTTTAAAATAAAACGTGCTGCAAATCACTTTAAACTATTGTCATTGTAGTGCGTATTTAATGTGGCGCTGCACTCTGATGTTGTAGGAGAAAACATTTATTAAAAAGGAGGCGTTGGAAAGCTGAAATTTAGCATTAAATTCACTTGAAAATATTCGTCTAACTAAAACTGCAGATGTTCAGAAAATTATATTGAAATTTTCTCATAATGATAAAATATTAAAAGTAATTCTAACTAATTGAAACTTTGTAGTAGAACGAAGCAAAATGTAGAGTACAATTATAACAATCACATATTCATTTCACAGAATGAAAAGCCCTGGTAGAATCATTAGAATAAAAATGTTTAATAACAATCATTAAAAAAATTGACAAAATGTATGCTCCTCCATTCTCCCATGGAGAAGCAAAATGCTCCTTCATGGAATAAATAAAAGTGATCTTAGTAAATTTAAATAATCAAATAGTTAATAATGAAAATTAGCAAAATTAGTGTTGTTATAACAATTATTTTAATTCATATTTATTTAAAGTTGCGCATTTTGACGTGACGTCACATTTCTATAACCCCCCCTCCCCCCCTCTTCACACATCGTCACAAATGTCCGACCCCCCTACCCCCCCTAGATGCGTGACGTCATTTATGGACGGCCCCCAAGATTTTAATTTGCATCCGTCCGATTGAGAGCCACTTGCTGGCCAGGTTGTACTTTAATCCGTTTAAAATCGTTTCTATTATCAATGCCTAGAATATCCAAGCAGAAAAATAACGTCTTAGCGGTACACCGGTGGTGCGCGGCATAAAATAAGCACATTTGTAACAATAATTATTAATTTTCCCGCGATACGGAAACCCCGGTCAGAAAATCTTGCGCGGTGGTGGTAGTGATGCGAGTCAAAATCAGTTCTCGTGATGTCGAAGCAGTCGGAAGACGAACGTTATGTGCGAGGCTGAAAACGAAGCTTCACAGTCTGTTGCCGTATAGCAGCACCCAGCCTGATGATGATTGGCTGCTTCGTGTTCCAACGGCAGATTTGACTCCTCGTACCCTAGACTCGGTCGGACGGTTCCTCGATTAATTTCCGGCATCATTTCTTGGTGGACAGTGGCATCAAAATATTAGGACTCGTGGTGTCACCATATGTTCAAATGGGAAAGCGGCTGCTGAATCTAAGGCAACTACTGATGGAGGGAGTATGCAGCTCACTCAAAGGGGCAACAACAACATCGTCAGTTATGAGGACCGCTGTGCTCTTATGCTGCACCGGTGTACCGCCAATACGTCCACATGCCAATCTCACCAGAAGTAAACAATGTATAGCAGCGGTCGGGAACCTATGGCTCACGAGCCATATATGGCTCTTCCGGTGACGACATATGGCTCCAAGAAAATTTAGAGTTGAAAAAAAAAATAATAATAAAAATCAGTTTGGAACTGATTTTAAAATACTTGTGATATTGCTTAATAATACTGTGTCATTTTAAAGTAAACAGAAATTAGTTTTGAAGATAAATTTCACGGGTCACGGATCCCGTGACCCGTGGGTCGGGTCTGGAACCAATGGCTCGCGAGCATGTCACGGGTCATTGTAAAGGTGAAGAAATCCATTTGATCAGATAGCCAACTAGTTTATCCGCTTCAACCCTTGTAACTGAAAAGATGGCGAAAAGAAAAAAAGACGATGATTACCGTGCATTCCAGGCTGCGTGGACAGAGGAATTTGCATTCGTGGAGAGAGCAGGATCTGCGGTATGTCTAATATGCAATGATAAAATTGCATTGATGAAACGGTCAAATATAAAGCGGCACTTCGATACGCACCATGCTTCATTTGCATCGAAATATCCAGCGGGGGACAGCAGGAAAAAGGCATGTGAAGAGCTACAGCAGAGAGTGCAGACGAGTCAGCAGCAACTACGTGTGTGGACCAAGCAAGGTGACGGGAATTCCACTAGCTTTGCGGGTGCTTTGGCAATAGTAAGGAATGGAAAGCCATTCACGGATGGCGAGTATGCCAAAACATTCATGCTTGATGTGGCCAATGAACTGTTTGATGACTTCCCAAATAAAGACAAGATATCAAACGAATAAAAGCCATGCCTCTGTCAGCAAGAACTGTTCACGATCGTAGCATCATGATGGCAAATCAAGTCGAGGAAACACAAATTAAGGACATAAACGCCGGGACATACTTTTCTCTCGCGTTAGATGAGTCAACAGACGTTAGCCATCTATCTCAGTTCAGTATAATTACCAGGTATGCTGCAGGTGACACACTGCATGAGGAAAGCTTGGCTGTTTTGCCAATGAAAGGGACAACAAGAGGAGAGTATTTATTCACGTCTTTCATGGAGTTTGCTAAAGAAAAAAAAAATACCGATGGATAAAAAAAAACTACCGATGGATAAACTTATTTCTATCTGTACTGATGGATTTATAGCGCTTCTCCGTGAACATGAAAAGAGAGCCATCCTAAGTTTTCATTGCATCCTGCACCAGGAGGCGCTTTGCGCTCAGACGTGTGGCCAGGAGCTTGGTGAGGTGATGTCGCTGGTCATTCGAGTGGTCAACTTTATTGTTGCCCGAGCTTTAAATGATCGCCAGTTTAAAGCTCTGTTAGAAGAAGTTGGGAATCATTATCCCGGTCTACTTTTACACAGCAACGTGCATTGGTTGTCAAGGGGGAAAGTGCTCAGCCGTTTTGCAGCTTGTGTGGGGGCCGTTGGCCCCCGGGGTCCCTCCCGCCTGCATCCCCCTATTCGTTTACGTTACCCCACCTCCCTATTACCCGCTACGGTTTCGGCGGCATTCGAACGCGACACCCCTACTATTACAGCCTCGCGCCGCGCTCCCACGCTGCGAGCATACGTGCGCACATCATCAATCAAACGCCGTGCTCGCAGTATAGCCCTGTGCGGCACGTTACCAATGCGCATCCGTATCCGACACGTAACGAACGTATGCGCACTCCCACACACACAGCTCTGCACGGCACTCACTCTTGCGCCGCTCTGCGCCGCGCTGGCCGCTCACGTTACGATCGCGCACCTGGGGTACGCCGATTTCGCACGACGAGAGCTTACGCATACACCGTACCACACGCGTTCACACTTATAACACGGGATCACACGAGCACACGCAAGCGGGGCACGCGCCGACACAACGACTCAAGTTTCCACCGCCGTGCGCGCGAGATAAACCGTACAACAATGCGCAGCCGATTACGCGCTCGAGCACACGCAAGCTCGCACAAAGCTAACAGCTTCACTGCGCACCGCGGTTTCGCACACGCGAGCGGGGTGCACGCCGACACGACGACTCGTCCCCTCCCGCACTCGCGCGTGCACGTCAACACAAGTATCGTGCAAGGACGATTCTCCTCTCACACGGCTGCGTAGGCACGCCAACACACAAAAGTGCTCTCCCCGGGCGTTAACACACACACCTCCGTACCCGCACCATCGTACAGAGACCACGGCCTTTACGCATACAACGACCACACACCCGCGAATGCAGTGCACGCTAATACCACGTTCAAAAACACCCAACAACACGGTTTTGTTACTACTGCTCGAGATTTTATTAACCCTTGTTAACTCACCGAGCCACCCGTGTGTGTGTACGAGCCAGCAAGGCGCTTCCAACCCACTCTCTAGTGGCGTGCAGCCCTATTCTATGCTGCGCTCTCTGTTACACCGCTTTCCTACTCGTCCTTACCCCGAACTAACCTTCTCCTACGGATCCTACTCTCCGCTCTGAGGTGTTGTAAGGCGCGTAATACGATACCGTCTGTAGTCCTGGGTGACCTTGC